GTCATAGTTGCCCATAATCGGGACGCGTCCAAATTGACTCATTGAATCCAATCGACGAGTATAATCGAGATATACGCAGGGCGACGAGTGCAAAAGAATGATATAGTATACTAACTGGCTTACTCGACTCCGCCCGGCCTTGTCAAAACACTATGATAAAGCACAATAATTGACTATTTTATTGACCATCCATATCCCTGTACAACTTTTCCCTGGGCCCAAGTCCTACACGCCAATTCCCTATTCCCGTTGTTTTAGAAATCAGCATGTTTGATTACGTTTCTGTACCAAATCTCAGCCCCGTTGCTCGAACTTTGCAAAAACGACAAATCGATAAGTAGCGGATAACTTCAAAAACTAATATTGTATTCGTAATCAGCACGCATGATTACCCCCTCTTCCTGTGCTAACTCCCAGCCCCGTGGGTCAAACTTTACAAAAATTTGATAAAATCGGTCAATTCAATATCGATCGATGACGAAAGTAGCCTACGACATCCGCCTCGTCCCGAAGTGTATGTGTGCGAAGTTTGGTCCGGACCGGTTGAGAAATGGAATTTTCTATTCGGAACATACAGACATACATACATGGATACATACATACTGACAGACATTCAACTTTATATACAAGATGTGTATCAACTATACAGGGTTCTAAGGGTACACATGCATTCGATGACAAAATTTAGTGTCCGTCCACCACTTTTACTATGTATCAGACCGCTTCCTTCTCGTGTGATGAGAGCTCTTTTAAGCTCAGGCTCGCAACATTTGTAGGAATGAGCGAGTTCATTGTTGACAGCCACTTTTCTTTCTTCCTGTTCAGTTTAGCACATCCAAGTGCAATCCAGCAAGCTGTATGGTTTTTCATGCCGCAATGATGATTTCTGGGTAGAGGATATTAGGTCGCCGAAAGAGGCGGTTCCATGCGGGCATTTGCAACAAACCGCGCACTTTCACCACTACTGCCTCATGCTATCTGTCCGAGTGGGTAGAGCCTAATGGCGACCTAATGTCCTCTACTGTTTTCTCATACAGATTAGCAATGTTGGCTTCAAATTCAACATCCTGGTGGCACAACTTGCAACTCATGCCTGAAGTCGTAATATACATTCGCAATTTTGCATTCCCTATGTTCATTTATTCTGAGGCACAACGATCTTCCTGTCCATCCATTATACTGTCCGCCACGCGGTCTTGCATTCATAAATTCCACTTGCAAATTGCTGAAAATTGAAGACATCAAGCCTTCAAAATTCCTGCAGTTTGTGAAGCGTAATAGAATTCATGACTCAGCGTGGTCAAAATGAGACCACATCGTATGCAATTCGAATAGACTGCAAGAGTGCATGTGCCATGTGTCTGCGCTGTTTGTATTGAAACTTGTAAATTACAATAAGTCAAGAATATTTGTTACAAGCAAGCATGGCTTCTTACAACTTTTGTGCGGAAAACTAGGAAATGGTACGTTTATCTGTTATCCATATTCTCACGCGGAGCGCTTCAGCACTAGTTGATTCTTGGAGACTGTGCAGCGACCACATGGAGAAAGTTGTCTTTATGTTTGAGCCCAAAGTGATTAAATCTCTGCTAGATTTTGGGAAATCTTTAGCTCAAGACAACTAAACTAACTTTCTGATCCAAAATGTGTTACAAGAAAACATGTATGATGCTACGAAGAGTTTAGCAAAAAGAGGGATCACATTTCGCTGATAAAAATGCACGGAGGGTCAATGCGAGTTGTAATCGCCGCTTCAAGCATTTGCATAGATTGTGGCAACGTGTGTAAGTGTCAAGTTTCGCCTGAACGTCTATCAATTTTGGCTCCTTTATTTCTGCGTTTTCAAAACTGCAATTGATTGTCTGTTTATTCGCTACATGCCATTGAAGCTCAAACTTTCTGTGAAATGATTGCAATGTTAGTTTTGTTTTATTGAATAAAATGTGTTAAATTGCGCAACATTTTACGAACAGCGCCCTAATCGCTTGAATTTCTAGAAGGATCTCCATACAAAATGGCGAAGATACGCTAAGAGACAGACATTTTACGGATAGATTGTAATATAGTAGTTATGTCGACTGAATTGAGTGTCATTTTTAAAGCAGACTGGAAAATTTTAAAACACAATTTTCTCAAAATCCGCAGTTGTAACCTTTACACTACGGCTACCGTGAACTCAGGTAAACAATTAGCAAGTGGAATGAGTGTCAATTTCATAGCTAACACGCTAGATATCCCTAAAATACGATTTTTCTCAAAAATCTGAGAAAAGGACACTATACCGCATGATTACATAATCCTACATTATAACTGTAAGCAAAAAATGTCATTTTCGCGGCCAGCGCCTTTGATGATCCATCCAGGCCGAGTTTAAACTTAATCTATTTTTACTACCATTTGTGACCACACGATCCGCAATGGTCGTATGTGCAGGAATGGCAGTCGGAATAGGCCTGGTTGTGATTGTGTCAAGGTATGCGGGTAAACCTTTTCAGTGTTGAAAATGATGATGAAAATGATCTTATTTAGAATGGAACCTGTATGCTCTAGGTTCCTGTCGTAATTCAACAGCAATGAAGACGACCAAAAATTGTGCATATTTCTGAAACATCCTTTTTATTTTAAAGTGAGATGCACATAGGCCCAAATTCCGGTTCACCCCTTGAATACTAAAAGGTGCTTTTTTTGAAACGTATGCGACTGAACAGCTTTGTCTAGACAATGTTAAGTTGTCCATAATTCATCTCATATTGCAGCTCCAAACTGATATTTCTCCATAACTGAGGCATCCACAAGAATGCAAATTTGTGGGAGTATTCTTGAGTGAATAAGCTATATACTCACATATTTGCGAGGAGCATAGACCCATTACAGGCAAAGTGTGAAAATTGAGCGCATTATTTCTTTCTCGATTTTAGCTCAGAAAAATGCAGCAAGTGTATATATTAGGTTGTCACAAAAGTTTTGTCCGTTTTTTTAAAACTATCATAAAAATACGTGGAACAAAGATGGGGAAACGCTCTAAACACTATCCGACGCATCCTTTCCTCCTCTTTCTAACGGTCAAGCCCTCATGCCGATTACTCTTTTGCTCACTGAAATAAACGCCGAAATTTCGAACCCATGGTTTTGACTATGTCCAAGTTTGATAATTTTTCACAATCTTCATTTTCAACTTTTGGAAGACCTTTGATAGCCCTCAGTGAAGATAATTTTTTCAAAAGTCTTCACTTTTGCGAAGGTCTAAAATAAAACGCCTTGAACACTAACAAATCATCGGATTTTGAAGCTTTCAAAAATCGATTACGATTATACACTATTTTTACGAAGCAAATGGGCGTTTACCGCTTCGAAATGTAAGATTTTGCATTTTACGTGTACACGCTGGGGTGGGGTCAAATTCAAGAATTATGAAAGTTTTATCGCCAAAGGCCCCGCAAATTGGAGAGAAAATACACTCATTGGAAAGTGGAGGAAAAGCTGCATCGAATAACACCTTTGTTGTGCGCCGTTTCATGATCTCTGGCTTTTGGCATCACCAAAAGTGGAATTTGATAGCATCAGAAAAATAATTCCAAAAAAATTTTAAGGCTGGCTATAGATGCCGCAAAATTGCATTATATTGCCCTTTGTTTGCGCTAGCTGTTGCCAAAGCTTTTCCGAAAGTCAAAAATAAAGATTGTGAAAAATTGCCAAACTTGGACATAGTAAAAACCATGGGTTCGAAATTTCGGCGTTTGTCTCAGTGAACAAAAGATTAATCAGCATAGAAGCATGACAATTAGAAAGAGAAGGAAAAGATGCGTCGGATAGTGCTTAGAGCGTTTCCCTTTCTTCGTTCCACGCGTTTTTATGATAGGTTGAAAAAAGGGACAAAACTTTCGGGACAACCTAATACAAATATCTGGGGAGATTATATGCGTAAGCCAGTGGCGTACCCAGGATTTCCGCTCGGGGGGGGGGGGGCGCGACAAAAATTTTTTTCAAATGAAGGTGCGTGGCCTTGGCCACGCACTCCGAAAGAATTTTAGGGGTGCTTCTCAAAATTTTTGCGGGTCCCCAACCCCTAAAATCTGGAAAAAGGGGGCGTGGCGTCAGCCACGCCCCCGAAAAAATTTTTTTACAAGGCTAATTTGAATTTTTAAAAATTTTTAAAAATTATTTTAATTATTTACAAGTATAAACAAGTCATTTGCACATTTTTATAACCCTTATAAGTAACTTTCAAAAATTTCGCGACCCATTCTCGGGGGGGGGGCGCCCCCCCCCCGCCCCCCTCTCGGTACGCCACTGGCGTAAGCAAATGGGAACTTTGCAGAATGTTTTTGAAATAAGATACGATTATTTTCGTTTTTTCGGGATTTTGGATTTTTTCCATTTTGTCCTGAAATTCGATGCGGATCAAGCCTGGTACGAACTTCTGAAAGCCATAAAGCCATATTTTAGCGCTTGCTTTGATCTTTCGAGTGCCCCGCATCCCATTACAAATCTAAGAGGAACATTTACGCTGTTGAAAAGTCAGATATGAAAAGACCTATGGGAATCTAATACAACTGACCAGCTTTATCTAAACATACTTAGCAGAGATGAAGTGACCAACCTCTGAATTTTTGTATCCTGTATTGTGGTACACCAAATTGAATTTCAAGGTACTTTCCAAGGAAAACAAAGAACCTATAAATGAAGCACCCTTATAAGCACTAGGAAAGGATCGACCTACCCTTTCAATGCCAATACTTCGACGACCCTTCCCAACACGGCGCCTACGTAGATGGGATTTCGAAAAAGGTTTCGAATAAGTCCCAGGAATTCTGATAGTAAGTAAAAGTAAAAAGCAGATTTGGTTGTATATAAATTGCATTACCTGTAATTCTTTCTTTGGCAGTGATGTCTTCGCGCACTTTCAAGTGCTTGTCGCGTAGATTCAGTCTCTTTCTTGGCTTCGCAATACTGAGCAAACGCAACTGATGTATTCGAAATGTATCTTGAGAAGTACCCACGGATCATCATTACTGCGATTGCTTTTTTCGCGAGTTATGGCTTTTGTGATCTCCTCCTTATCAAGTTTATCCGAAGGGAAAAGAAACAATGCAAGAGAAGGGAAAAACAGAAGTGCACTAAAAGAGTTTGATATGTAGAAGCATTTGCTGCTCTGTAGCTCACCCAAAGATGAGAAATCCTAGCCACCAGCAGCCGATCCACATAGGATCCAATGGAGTGAGCCCTTGTGGAGCTAAAAAGAGCTTGTAATCGGGATGCACAAGGTTAAGTTTTGTCATAATGACTGACGATCAAATGTATAGTAAATCTCGTTCAGCTTGCTTCCGACTAATAAACCAATAACTGGCCCAAGAATTCTCACGAAGAACATGGAAGCTGAAGGAAGATTAGATTCATCACTCTTTCTACACTATGACTTTGGTCTATTTCTAACCAAAAAATAGTGGAAGGTTGTTCTTTCTGACGTTGTCATCCATTAGTGGCAGACCCAATGAGAACGGCATTGTTCTGAATACTTTTTTATCAGGAGACATAAGCATATATCCCATACAACAAATCCCGTTTTTTATAAATGCGCCTTTTCATTTGTTGTTCAGTGGGACCAGAACATTTACAGTTAAAGGGCTGGAAACAAAAGGTTGCTGAAGAGGAGGTTCATGGGAAAGTGTTTCTCACTTTTTTACGTTAGGTTACGTTTTACGCGACTCCAGTCGCTGCCCGATCGGGCATTGCAACAACTGTTCACAATTGGTCGTGAGCGCGCTTGCGGTCAGACCTAATGAGTTTGCGATAACTGACGAAGCTACACACCTACAGTAAGTAGATTTCATGCATAACATAGTGTCCCTGCGGACGCTACAACGCTTGTGCGTCAACAATTGCCATAGCTAGTTTCCGAGTGACGTTTTCTGGTATTTTTTTGCTTGAGTAGTTTTGTTTTCTGAGTAGTTATCAGGGTGCCCAAAAATGTGCCTGCTCTTCAACTGCTGACTCTCTTGTGAGATCTTTCGGGAGATTATAGGTACCGTTTTGTAGAATTGGCTTCAATTTAGATTTACAATATGAAGTGATGTGACGTTCTGTCTCGATTACGTAGGATTAGGTAGGAACTCACAGCATATGGTGCCACTTTGAGTTGGGCAGTTCAAAAAAAATTTCAAAAAATTCCGGAAAATTGTGCATTACGATTTGCATACATGCTGTTTTCACTACGTGATTTTCTGTTTCTAAATGGCGTAAACTACTCATACCCTTGATGCATAGAGCCATGCACCCTGGTAACCTTCACTTTGAGCGCCGTTATAAAACACAACCTTCACCTTAAAACCAAAAATTCGTCCGGGGTCCTCGAATGTTATAATTCTGACCATACCGGAATGAGTGTAAATGAAGCAAATATAGGGAATAATACCTTTAGAATATCTCAGCGAAACCGAGAATTTGCGTTTTTTAGCGTTTTTACGCTAAATAGAAGGTTACTTTGAACGTTATTCCAGAATTCAGGATAACAACTCTCACTTAACCTCCTATTTGACTATTGAGTCTCAGAAGTAGAGAAGCTGCTGGAGTTGAATAAAAACGCGAAACTGCGCTCAAATCTTGCGCAGGGACTGGCGCACGAAAATGCTGGTTTATCTCGTTAATGAGCGATTTTCAACGCTTGGGACGTTGTCAGTGCTCCTCGCCGTGTCATGTCGAGGAGATATAGTCGTCCTCACCCCGCTAGTCGGTCGGTGGTCGAATTTGAAGTCGAACTGGAGCAGCCCGACCGCGGCAGAGCGCGGCAGACCGCTCCTCAGGCAACTGCTTGCACGTGAGCTTTTCCCTTATTTTCTTCGTGTTTCTTTGCTATCTCTCGTATTGCGGCAATGTTCTTAATCAGATTTTGAGAATTCGTGCCGCTAACTCTTTGAAACAAACACTTTTGAGAGAATTTCACCGCTATCGCAAAAAATAGTTTAGTGCACACATTCCAACGAGAAGCAATTCATCAAATCACATTTGTGTATATGTCACTTACCAGAAAAGAGATTCTCATTCAAAATCGCATCCTTCTTCCCGGTTTACTCGGAAAAATGTAAAACAGACGAGCACAACTGCACGAAACAATAGTTAGCGGTATGAAATCTAAAAATCTGATTAAGAACATTGCCGCAATACGAGAGATAGCAAAGAAACACGAAGAAAATAAGAGAAAAGCTTAAGTGTAAGCGTTTGGCTGAGGGACGGTCTGCCGCGCTCTGCCGCGGTCGGCCTGCCCCAGTTCGAATTCAAATTCGACCACCGACCGACTAGTGGGGTGAGGACGACTACATATAATGTTGTAGGATTTCGTTATAACCCCGCGGAGATCAGTGACCAGAGCCAAATGTCCCGTCGGCTCCGATCTGTCTCAGCTGCTCGTCTGCGTCTCCGCGCGCTGCGCGCTACCTCGCTATCCCAAACGCGGTGCGCGGGGCATTTGGCTCTGATACCCTTTTCTTCGTTGTTTCGAACCCAATTTTAGCACACTATATATCATATTGAAGCTCTTGATCTCTACTTTTACGCTGACAACGTTCCAAAACTACAGTTTCTCATTTGAACGAAAAATCCGGCAAAAACCTTGTTTTCGAATCTCTTGTTTTTTCCCTAGTTCAACTCTTCGCACGCGGTTTTTCCTGCATTCTATATAGATCCTGCTTTCGTTCATAATGCAGACAACGATCCAGTGCTCATATCTTCGATTAAGGCAGAATTTTTTTGTGAAAAATTGTAAAAAGTGCGTTTTTGTTTACCTCGTTCTGTTTCAGTGCTTTCGCAGAGATTTTTTTCCAGCTTGAATGATTTTTGCTCAGATTAGTGAGCGCTACAATTCAGACAACGTCCCAGAAAACGGGGACGACAATGCTGAGGTAAAAATTTAGAGGACGCACCAAAAACTAGGTTGGCTCTGAACATTTCGACTTGGTTAAAGCAAAACTCTTTTGTTTTCCAAACTTATTCTTTTCTTGTTTATGTTTTTTGTTTTTTTTTTGTTTTTTTTGTTCTTTGTTGATAATCTTTACTTCCGAAACCTCGTTTGCCCCCAAGTTGTGGATTACGTGGTCCTGAAGCGAAAACCTGCAATGCCGCCAGATGAAAGATTTCAAAATAATTGCAGCGTTACTATCCAATTTTCAAGAAATTCTTTTGCTTTTACTAAATGCTTCATCTTGTTTCTGCTCTGGTTTTATATGAACAATCTTCACTTTTTATGGGGGTGGGGAGCAGATAATCAAACATTCTTTACCTTTAGGGCTCTGTCTCTTGACTATCGAAATTATGGGCGTAATCAAATTTTCAATGAATATCAGAGATCAATTGTTACGGTATATCTGGCATAACTTATGAGAAAAGCGTTACGGTGAAGTGCGAGTTTCGTAAGTACAATCAACGACTTCGATTAACCTAGTGTCAAAGTTTTTAGCTTCTTCATTCAATTTTTATGGGTTACATATGACACTCAATAACGCAAAACCTCCTCAAAGTTTCTGCTTTAATCCTACAGTAATGTAGAGAGGGCGGTAATTCGCTTCATACTGTGAATCTAATGAGGAAACCTACCTAACTTAGCTCGACCTTTTGGCAGGTGACATATACATTCTGCATCAGCTTCAAACGCTGATTCTAAATATGCTAACCTTTGCTGCCATTCCGAAGCGAGTTATGGACTTTTCCTGCGCGAAATTAGCATACTATGAACATGGATAGACTGCCTGTAGATAAAAATCGGCTGAAAAAGGTGCTGAGGTATCGAATTAACATAAATCCAATCATTTCTCACTAAAAAGAAGCTTTACGCAAGTGTATTAGCATTTAGATAATAATGCCGTGATGCCAGTGAGTTGACGAGTATGCCAATTTCGCGCAAGAAAAATCCATAACTCATATTTTCGATAGTCTAGAGATAGGACGTCAAAAGTGAAGGTTGTCTGAACATCTGACGTCATAAATAGTGAAGGTTGTTTAACCCATTGACGACGACGCCTAATTTTGCGCGGCGGCGCTCTGGGACGACGCGATTTTGCACAACACTTCCAGTGTGGGAAGGTTTCGTGCTTATTTACGAAACGCAACATTGTTATGTAAACAACTATTAACATTTTCTTGAACGACAGAGCCTATAGGTCCTAAGAATACAAAAATTGAAAAAAATATTCATATGTGGAAAAAATACTAGACCTGCAAATAATACGACTTTGCGAGAGGTGTGGGCCACCGGGGGTCCACATCGTCCCTGGCAGCAAAAAGCGCGTAGGCCACCGGTGGTCCACATCGTCGTCAATGGGTTAAAGAAGATCAGAGAAGAGAATATGACGTAAAACAGATATAAAAAGCAAAAGAAACTGCTGAAATCGGAAAAAACGCTGCAGAGAGGTTTAAAATCTTTCATTTGGCGGCTTTTCAAAGTGCAAGTTTTCGCTCTAGGACCAGCAATTCGCAACACGGGGTTTTGATTTTTGATGCGTCCTTTGAATTTTTACCCCCGCATTGACGTTCCTGTTTCCTGGGACGTTGTCTGGATTGTTGTGCTTATTGTTCTGAGCAATAATCGCCCAAGCTGGAAAAAAATCGATGCGAAAGCACCGAAACAGAACAAGGTAAAGAAAAACGTACTTTTTACAATCTTTCGCAAAAAATTCCACCATAATCGAAGAGGTAAGGGCTGGGTGGTTGTCTGCATTACGAACAGAAGCAAGATCTATAGCTTGCACGAAAAAAACCGCGTGAAAATAGTTAAACCAGGAGAAAAACAAGAGATTTTCGAAAACAAGGTTTTTGCCGGATTTCTGATCAAATCAAAAAATGTGGTTCTGGGACGTTGTCATCGTAAAAATAGAGATCAAGAGCTTCAAATTGATATATAGCTTGCTAAAATTGGGTTCGAAACAGCGAAGAAAAGGGTACCAGAGCCAAATGCCCCGCGCCCCGCGTTTGGGGTAGCGAGGTAGCGCGCAGCGCGCGAAGACGCAGACGAGCAGCGGAGACAGACCAGAGCCGACGGGGCATTTGGCTCTGGTAGTAGATCTCCGCGGGGTCTCAACGAAACCCTGCAACATTATATATCATTCTAATCGTCATGACACGACAAGGAGAACTGACAACGTTTCAAGCTTTGAAAATCACTCATTAACGAGATAGACCAGCGTTTTCGTGCGCGACTCTCTGCAAGATTTGAGCGCAATTTCTCGTTTTTATTTAACTTTAATAGCTTTCCCAAACTTCAGAAACTCGATTTTATTCAAGCGAGAGGATAACTGAGAAATCTTGTCTTAAATTCTGGTAAAAATTCCACGGGAGCCTTCTTTTTAAGGTAAATAAAGTCTATGAAAACGCAAATTTTCGTCGCCGAGATAAGCTAGAGACCCTATATTTGCCTCATTAACATTCGTTCCAATATAGTCAGGATAATAACATCCGGGGCGAAGCCCCGGATGAATTCTGTTTTTTTTCCAGGTGAAGGTTGTGTCCCCCCATAGCCCTCAAAGTGAAGTTACCAGAGTACGTGGCTCTATGTATCGAGGGTATGCCACAACTCGCTTAGGAATGGTACTCGACAGCGGATTAGCATATTTCGAATCAGCGTTTGAAGCTGATTCAGAATAAATATATTCCCTTTGCCAAACGGCCGAGCTAAGTTAGGTGGCTTTCCTTGTAAGTTGAAGCCAGCTCTACAAAATAGTACCTAGAATTTTCCGAAAGATCTCAGAATAAGAGAATCACCAATAATCGAACAGTAGGCATGTTTTTGGGTACCATCGCTTATACTCAGGCATCTACGTGGAAGTCACGTCAAGTCAGGTTTATGTGCATTTTTGTCACTTCATGCCTCTTTCTCCTTGTGAAGCATTTCTTTCTAGTACCCAGCAGCAAATCCGGCTTTCACCTAAATAGAGGTAGCATTTTTAATCGAGTAGTTCGTGGATAAGTCAAACGCCTACTAACCTTCAAGGAAATGCTTCACAAAAAAAGAGGCGTGAAGTGACAAAAAAATACACATGGAACTGACGCGACGTAGCTTTCACCTCCTTTGTCAGCAACAACTCACCAAGCAAATAATAAGTAAAGAAAACCTTAGAAAACACTCGCTGAATCTCGCAATAGCAATTCTTGACTTCAAAGCGTAGTCACATCTGCAGGGACACTATAATAAGGAGAAAATCTACTCGACTGTATGCATTTGGGACCCGTGCACAGCTAATCTGTAGTGCCTCACAAATCACCAAGTCACATAAATGTAACTAGTTGACGAAATCGCCTGATGGAAATCGAAAGTTACAAGAAGTCCGCTTCGAGCCTAAGGCGTCCTTGTAATTCCGTCAAATTGCTACAAACACTCGACTTGGCGATTGGAAACTTGCTAAGGGTTAGTCATGTGCATGTCTCAAATGCATGGGCGCGCAGCTTCCGTCAGGGCCCGGCATGAGTCCGTTGCTAAGCTTTTTGAAAACGAAGCCTCCCTTGACTTTCTCCAAAATTTACGAAGTCCCCTTTGACCCAAACCATATCTGTAAGAAAACCCTTGAAAAACGAAACGTCGGCTAAAAAAACGTCGCAATTTTTTGCGTCTTTTCGGCCACTAAAACATATCCTCTTTGCTTTTTCGCTCAAAAAGCAAAGGGGACAAAAAAGTCCCAAAACGAAGTCCAGCTTCAGCTACTATTTCATATCAAAGTCTTCAAACTCTTATCTTGAGTTGTTTGCCATTCAAGAATCAGTTGTTGTTCAAGCATAAGTTTTACGTTTGCGCAGGCTTTTTCGGGTGTATGTCAAGAGGCGCGATTTTTATTGCCAGATGGACACCAAATAGTGCAAAATAAGGGTTTTCTAACGTTTCAAAAACAATTGAACTTTGGCAGAAGATATATTAGGTAGCTGCATGAGTTGCTTGATCTTGCTGTCTTGGAATAAATTCAAAACAGTAACTTTGGAGGTCAAAAACCCATGAAAATGCAGTTAAGGACAGATTTGTAAATATTTCGGTTCGTTCTCAAGCAAAAGCCACTGAACTCAGCAAGTGGTAACCTCAGACAGATAGTAAGCCAATGCACTTTATCTGGTATTTTTTGAAGACTCGCATAACACTAAACTGGAGTTTTGAGTTGGCGACAACCGGAGAAATCGCGCCTCTTGACCGTCTCCCGGCTTTTTCAAGGGTGGGCCGAGGTTTCTACCTCTTGTTTTTTATTCCATTTTTTCACTAAAAATGCGCTAATGGATGAAATGAGAAGCGTTAAGTCAAGCGCGCTGACTACGCGCCACGGATGTATATAGAAGTTTCCCATGCGTATAGCGGGCGGCCGTGCAGACATCTGAACATGTTGAAAAACTTGTTAAACCTCCATTCTAAAGCACTTTCTGTACTCTCTAGCTGCCAAAAACTGCCACGCGCATACGTTGACAAACGTCGGCAAAGCTCCGCCCGCTATAGCACTGTGGGGAAAGGACGATACCTATGGGAAGCTGGGCACACACTATACTATAGGGCGCTCATTAAATTTTGAGAAAGAGACTGCAGGATTTTGAGCCAATATTTTAAGGATGCAAAAAGCTTGAACAAAGAACATCATTATATTGCTCTGCTCACTCACTTCCAGTGATTACAAGCTATCATATGCGCGCAGACCATCCATTTGACTAAAGATTGAAGCCAGCAAAATGCACTTTAATTAGAGATTGAAGCCAGCAAGATGCGCTTGCCGAAATTGGTACGGAATGCGCGCGGCCGTCGCCATTGTCACAATTTTCTGACTGCCCTATAATTTTTATGCTATATCTTATGAGATACTCTTTTTGCAGATGCGTTTTCTCCTGTTACCCTACTTGTACTAAAGCAATGATGTGAACAAATTTATTTTAGGTGTATAAGCTACACTTTTTGCTTTCATTATGAGCAAAACAGGACTTATCGCCAACATGTGCCTCGCCAAGCGAACTCTCGACTTAGCCGAGGCCATATTATAATGGATCCTTCATGTCCTTAGGCGAGCCCATTTCCAGAGCAAAGGCAGGCTCATACACGGCAGATTAAAAATTTACTTTACAAAATAATTAAGTATTCACGTTTTGGAAAATGCAGGCACCAGGACTTTCGTCAACTGGCACTTTATTTGAAGGAGCATATCTCACTGCTGCTCTCAGATGTGCCCCGGAACGACCAGAGGCTGCATAAAAATAACGGCTGCGATCGCTGATTACTTGTCGTGAGGTCTAGATTGAACTGATAATGAGAATTTGACGTTGCTGGAAACGTGGTTCATTTTGTTGGAGCGCATCTTGCGAAGTCCTGGCGTAGACAAAATGAGCCCGTTATATGTGTTTGGTAGTGTGGGCATTGCAGCAGTCACTGCAAGATGAAACTTGAAAGATGTTGAAACGAGGAAGAACTGTCGAAATATGAACAGGCTGTGAAGATAACAGATAAAAACTGGAGAATATATTGGTTGCTAGTTCATCAGCGTTTGACAGGTAGTAAAATGAAAAGACTGTCCACTTGCGTGGTGTGTTTTGAACTTTCTAACGCTCTTCTCTTGATGCCAGGCAATTTGCGCCCTTCGATCGTCCCGCGCATGACTAGCAGGAAGGTTTGCAAGTAGAGGGAAAGAGCTGTCGGTTTTGAATCTGCTAACTATCTTCCCACTGTATTCAACAAGTTTATTGTATTTAGGCACCTATTTGGAAATTGAAGAATAATGACAGTAGTGATATTTTTTTGCATCGACATCTTTTGGATCACTATCGCACAGTGCCTCATCGCATTACCTTTCGGACTTACCTCCCAACTCCAAGGAGCATTAGTCCCCCGAAAATCATTGCAAACGGCCCCAAACTTGATGTCTCTTTTTTGCATTCGTCTGCGATGTGCTGAAATGCACTGCTTCAGGTAAGCGTTTTCTTACCCAAAAAAAACTTTTGTCGCTAATATGTGACAGCTGAGTAATCCACCATTGAGATACTAATAGAAAGGTAGCTAAACAGTTTTGCGGCTTTAAGTTTTTCCATCGAACATCATTCTGATGTGCTAGGTTGAGCACTGTGCATCTCGTTTTAGTGCACATTTGGCCTGAAGGTGTAAGGCCTCGGGCAGAGTTCACGCGATTTCATCGTCTCGCGATTCTCCAAACAAGACAACAGCTACGAGTCCAATGCATGCCGATCAATTTGCATTTCATTGTGATAGTTAGTCACGATTAGTCCTGTCGGAAAAGTCGGTCTTCAAAAAACTGTGTGATGACTAACCAGTTAGCTGTTACTAACATAAGATGGGTGAATTTTGAAATCATCTAAGTCTAACACCGGTAGGTCTCCCACAACACTCGCGGCTTTCAAAACCGATTTGAAGACCGACTCAAAACGTTGCTAAGGTTCAACATCAATAGAAAAAGGCAGATAGCAGATTTACCGAGGCGTTGGGTTGATCCAGTCGTCTACTCAGTGATGATGTAGGTCGGTCCGAAAGTTCATGATTTCGGACCCGTCACAAGAACATGTGGAGTAAAGGTAGGCGAAGTTTTTGAAAACCATTTGATGCTTGCCTTTCCTTCCTCTTTTCCTCTTTTTAAGCTAACCGCTTTTTTGACAAAGATAAATGGTAAGGTAATTTTTCGGTGAGATGGTTTTTTGGTAAGAGTAAAGAAAGTGCGATACAACGAATTAATTGCATCTCCACCCAGCTTACCAGTATTCTTCGAAATAATCATTTCAAAAATAATTTTGCGAAGTCTACACGGACACTTTAAGCACCAGTAGTCTTCTGATCATTTTCCAGCTACAAAGAGGTTCGCGTTTGAAAAGAATTGTGGTGATTGACCTTGCAGGTTACGAATAGGGAAGAAAGAGCGTCTGTCGGAAAAAGGGCAAAAGTTGCATTAAATGACACTGATTGCTCTTCAGTTAATGTTCTAAAAGGTTCAAGATGACCGAATATTATAATAATTTGGTAGCATCAAAAAAGCTTTTGAAAATTTTGTAAAGCCAATTATAGACGCAGAAATGGCTTGCACTTCTTTTCTTCATGTTTCATCGCCAGAAGACTGAAATGAAAATTGAAATGTTGCTGAAATCGGACATGGCTTCTCTAGTACCAAAGAACGAGGAAAGAGAAAAAGCTGGGGCGATGGTATTTAAAGGTTCGCCTATCTCTATTCCACGTGATCAATTTTTAGACTCGACCAGCCTGAACACACCAAAACATTTCGCGACCGAAGGATCCTGTGCAGTGCTGCGTATTGACTGAGCGTATCGTGTGGCATAAGTCTCGTTTTCCGAAATACAAGACAGCGGCTGACCGGTTTGCTTGAACGAAAAAGGTATGTCTTGTACTCTTGAAATTACTGTAAAAAGTGCTGTAAGTGAGTCCTTGTCTTGTCTTGTCTTGTCCTTGTCTTCATTTAAGTAAAGATTTGTGGGAGCTTACTTGCTGTCTCAATTTGTTTATAAGATTATGACAGAACGAGTATGGCAGAGATGTAAGCAATCGTACGGCAGAGACATCTCTTTCGTTGTTAGCGTGCTTCTGCGAGATACGACTCTAAAATTAAGATAGACATTGAGCTCTGACTGAGCCAAGAGATTTGGTACCTCCATCTTGCTACATATTTCTGAGCGGGGATTGTTGTAGCAAAAAGAGCGATATATGATGAATTTTTGGCTATCGCTTCGACGCGAGCCAGCCTGATAATATCCATATATTAGGTTGGCACATAAGTTGTGCAACTTTTCCCGTAGCTTTCTTCTTACCGAATGAAGCACTCTCATTCTTTGGCATCATGTAGGGTGTGAGTAAGCTGCAAGCCTTCGCAAACTGTTTGATTTATGATAAAGTACTAGAAAAAAATTTAAGCATTTTTCGAAAACCCTTGAAAATCGAGGTCCCACGATTTTTTGGAAAACATGAAGCCATACAAAACCTGAGTCAAATATATCAGAATCATAGGCAGCATGTAGGAGTTGCCGCACTGAAATCAGTGAAAAAGAAGTGAAATACAAAGACAAACTAAGACAAGGCGCCTTTGAGAAGTAGAACAATTCAAACGCGTCAAGTTTTAAGGGCAATCTGTCAATAACTAAGCTGCGAAACCTCAGAATTAGCTAAATCTTTGCACAATAAGGTAATCCAGTATGATGAACGCCAACATCGCATTCATTTGTCGTTAAGATAACATTCATCTTTTCACCTTACGAAAGAAGCCTTTTCATGCCACGGGGCTAATTTTTGTGATCAGCATGTCGAATAACCCTCATAGGCCAAGTTTAAGCAAAATCTGGCGCGATCTAAAAATTTTCCCATTGCACCGTGAACCTACCGTAACCCTTACATAAGATGGCAAAATTCGGCAAAATGTCCGCATTTGCAGTTCACATCATAATTTTTATACTGCTAGAAACTGAATGCGCTACGTCCAAAAAGACAAAGGTTATATAAAAAGTTGCATTACTTATGTGCCAACCTAATAAAAACGTAGCTTTTTCACTTGAAAACCTACTTTTGCGGTGAAGACGGTATCGTTGAGATCAACCTCTTTCAAAGTCTCAGAGAACCAGTTGAAATCAACAGAGTCATTCAGTATAAATCTGCAAAGTATTAACGTTACAGTTTTTGAATCGAAGAAAAGCCGTGAGATTTCTTGTTATTGTGGAAAATTGTTGTACAACAAAAGAAATTTGCATGAATCGTGTTCACAGTCTCCATTTCGTATCTTTCGAGACGAAAATTGATTTCTAGTTAGAGGTCTTTTAGGACCTTCCCGGTGCTGAAGGAGGTCGTAGACTAAATTCTGTTCATGTTTTTCATATCATTTCAAATGAAAGGACCGCCAAGTTAAGACTAAAAGAGAATGGCGCAGGGGATAAAGTACAAGTGGCAATACAGAAATAAAGAAATTGAGATAAGAGATATATATTGAGTAAAGTGTACAATAAAGGTACCTGTTGACTTCGTAAGTTAAGGAGCGCGGAATGTTACTGTTATTCACGTGCAATTCCTGTGCTGGGAAAAGAAAATTTGAGGAACTGATCAACAAATTAGCAATCGCTATCAATATACAACCACCACCAATCCAGCGGGCGCGATTACCCTGGAAGATATCACGTATGTTGGTAGCAGTAAACCTGTCTTTATTCTTCCAGGAATGCTAATTCACTGTCAAGGTAACACAGGGCACAGGTCGAATGAAGCATACCTTTCCACCGAAATAGCTAGTGAAAATAACAACAGGTATGTAGGCAAAATCCCCAGCAGAGACCATTGTACCGCTAAGTCGTGAAGGTATTTGAAACTGCTTTTCTATGAAAACGATGGCACTGAAATGTTGCTGTTTAGCAGACAAAAGTTCGCTCTGCTTCTCTTTTCTCTTGCAAATCCATCAATATACCAACGAAAGGCTTGAATGCCGGAAGTCGTCAAATTTTTGCTCCTCACACAAGAGCTGGTTAACTCTGGGCAAAGCACCAACACAGATATGTTACGCGGGACAGTAAAAAAATATTTAGACTAAGTCCTTCGAATAAAACAAACCTGGTCATGTAAAATCCACCTATAGATTCCAAAAAATAAACCATTCCAAATACGAGGAAAAAACACTTTATCTGGAAATTAGTGAGATAAAGCGAGGTTAAATGATCTAATAGGTTGTCCCATAATCTTTTCATATTTTATTCTTTACTGCCATAAGCGATTTCTTCGCAAATTTCTCATGGTAATCGGGTATCTTTCCATAGAGCAAATCAATCTCCACAAGATGACTTTCAAACAATCACACCAAATTTCGATCCACACAAAGATTAAATCCGAAATTTGAAACTCCCAAATGTCCAAAAAATTGAAAAAATCATATCTTGTTCAAAAAAGTCCTACGAACTTCCAACTTGTTCTAGCATATAATTTCGACACCAGACATACAGAGTGTCCCAAAAAATGTATCGAACGTTTGATCGTTAATATCTCTCTTCTAAAGAGGTCTTTTCTTTTGCTTCAGGTACCAATCTGTAGAGCTGGCTTAAACTTAGATTTGCATTATAGAACGAATCACTCATTTCTCTTCATTACTGTAGGATTACGGTAGAAACTTCAAAGAGGGTTGTAAGCAATGAAAGGCCATATTTTACCTTAGAAAGGAAACAAAACAGCCTCAAAACTTTTACATTAGGCTAATTAGAGTTGCTGATTATAACTGTAAAGTTCTCAACTTATTATGACGCTTCATTGAATAGTTATGCCAGGTAAGAGGTAGCGGCCCTTTTTTCTATGTTCTTAAAAGTGCAGTTACACTGTTTAGAAAGCTTCGTAATCTTGTGAATAGTTGAGTATTGAACTCAGCGTCCATAAAAACCCTATTACACAAGTTTTCACAGTTTTTTGAAAAATTTTGAAACGGTAGCTTTTTCCACATTGACACCATATGTTTCAAGTTTCTACCGTAATCCTACAGTAATGAAGAGAGATGGGTGATTCGTTCTACAACGCAAATCTGAGTTGAAGCCAGCTCTACAAAACAGTACCTGAAGCAAGGCAAAAGACTTCTTAGGAAAAGAGATATTAACGATCAAACGTTCGATACATTTTTTTGGGACACCCTGTATAATTGCTGTATTTTTTTCATTGCTAGAAGTCAAGAAAATAAAATTTGCATGTTTTCGTAAAAGCAATGCGGGGCTGTTTCTATTTAGACAGATCTATAGCATAAAACTTTATGAATATCGCTAGCTGCACTTCTCGAGAATTTACTTACTTACAAGGGAGCGATCCCAATTTAAGGTGGCGAATTGGAATAAAGCGCATTATTAGATGCGTCTTGATGAGCTGATTCCAAATCTATCTTCCATATCTGCGACAACGTTATGGAAGAAGTTATGAAAGGTAAAAAATGTGAAGTAACGGGGGTTTCGATGCATGATTTGCTTTAAAATTCAACTTGGAAGTGCACGACTAGCACCATGTTGAATGTAATGATTTCATGGAATGCTCACACTCAAAAGAAACGCAAATAAGTGTTTTTGAACAGCTAAAAAAACAACTAAAGTTCTTTGATAGAAGCTATGAGCAATGAAAAGTCCAAATTTGGCAAATATACAGCGCAAAACCTCGAAATTTAGTTGTTCAAAAACACTTATTTGTGTTTCTTTAGAGTGTGAGCATTCCTTGAAATTAGTACACTCAATATTATGCTAGTCATACACTCCCAAGTTGGATTTTGAAGCGAATTATGCACTAAAACCCCCGTTACTTCACGTTTTTAACCGTTCATGACTTCTTCCAGATAACGTTGTCGCAGATAAGGAAGGTAGATTTGCAATCAGCTCGTCAAGACGCATCTAATGATATGCGTTTCAATCCAATTCGCCACCTTAACACGTTGACGACAGTGTCGCGCAATGGTGCGCGACAGGCAGTCTGTCCCTGTGGACGATGTCGCGCAATGGTGCGCGACACCCCAAATCCCAGTTCTAATGTGCACAATAGTTCCAATTTGTGTTCACATAATCAATTTAGGCTCAGAAGTTTTTCATGTTGGCCCCACCCCTCTTTTGACAAACTCCGCCCACTCCGTTGCCCTCTACAAAAAACTTTTTTCTTTCTCAAATAGCATAGAAAAGCTCGTAGATGACCGGGGAACCTTCAATAATCTTAATTTTGACCCCGCCCCCAATTATGCAGACCCCGCCCCCTGGGTGGCAAGCTCCGCCCACTTTTCAAAAATGCCTGAATTTGCATGAATTCATTGATTTTGAGCAATTTCCAGCATTATTTAAAAGTGGGCGGGGCTTGCCAAAAGTGGGCGGAGCTACCCTGCCCACTTGCATTTTTGTACCTCACGCATAGGTGTATACATACATACATGCAGCCGGCTGTGAAAATGCCCGGAAACGGTTCGTCCACTGGGACAGACGTCAAAAAAACAGCTCGTCGTCAACGTGTTAAGTTAAGATCGTTCCCTTGTTAGATACTTAGATGGCCTGTCTTCACGTGGCCTCAGCACGAAAGTTGCCATTTGTCCCTGTCCCTCGCTTCAGACATCCACGATCTTCTTGGTTGCCGTCGATGGCTGCGTCCACGAGTTCCAGGTGCGATAATCGTATCCAGCTGATTTCTCAGCTGGTCCATCCGTTCCACGAACACGTCTGCCCATCTCGTTGGTGGTCTTCCTCGGGGACGTTTGGCTTCGCGAGGAATCCACTCAGATGTTCTTAGTGTCCATCTGTCGTCTGTTCTTCTCATGATGTGACCGGCCCATCGGTGCTTCGCTTTCGCAACGTATTCCGCTGGGTCACGAAGACGGGACATTCTTCTCATATCCGTATTGCGAAATCCGACTAGATGTTGCTTGTTTCGGGTCATCTTCAGAAGAGCTCGAGCGCTCTGTGGGTAGTCCGTAAGGCTTTCGACGTGGCTACTGTGTCAGCCCAAGTCTCAGCTGCGTAACAGAGCGCCGGGAGAACGGTTGAGTCGAACAGGTGGGCACGAAGCTCCGGGTCCGTCAGTTGGTCGGTGGATTCCTTCAGAGGCCCGAAGGCGGCCCAGGCTGCTTTCTTCTCGTTAAGTTCCTCCCTCAAGTCGTTCTCCATGTTCATCGAACGTTCGAGATACACATAAGAAGACGTCCCCATAATAGGGTGCCTTCCAATCATTTCTGCATCTCCGCAAAGGGCGTTCTTCATAAACTAAGTCTTCTTCCGATTTCTTCGCAATCCGATCTTCTTCCCTACTTCGTTTAGTTCCTTCAGCATCGTCTCTGCTTCGGTGATACCGCTCGAGAAGAGAACGATGTCGTCCGCAAAACGAAGGTTAGACAGGAATCTCCCATCAACTTGTATGCCTCTCTCGTCCCAGTCCAGTGACTTCATCACCCACTGCAAGGCCGCGGTGAACAGCTTCGGCGAAATTGTGTCGCCTTGTCGGACCCCCTTTCCCGATTGGAATGGTCAGGGGGCGATGGAACAGCTGCATCGTTGTTGTACAGTCCTTGTAGCAGTTGGCTAGTGTCCTCACGTAGGCTGGGTCCACTCCTTGATCGACTAGCGCTGACAGGATGGCGTTGGTTTCGACGCTGTCGAAGGCTTTCTCGTAGTCGACGAAGGTTAGGACGAGAGGCAGTCGGTACTCCCGGCAGACTTCTATGACTCTCGAAACCGTTTGGATGTGGTCCAGACGGTTTCGAGTGTGGAATCCAGCTTGTTCTTGGGGTTGGGCTTCATCTAGTGTCCTAGATATGCGTGCGAGGATAATCTTCGTGAAAAGCTTGTACAACACAATCAGCAGGCATATTGGACGGTAGTTCCGAAGATCCTCCCGTTCACCCTTCTTGAAAAGAAGGACGGTTCTTGCCGTTCTCCACTGGTCGGTCCTCTCTCCTTTGAAGGTAAGATGTCAGGTGCGACGCGAGAATCTCGTGTAGACGTTGTCCTCCGGCTCGCAGAAATTCGACGGACAGACGGCCTGGTCCTGGAGCCGTGGATGTCTTTATGGCTAAATCGCCATACGCACTTCAGCAGGTAGAATTCGTGGTGGTACTCTTCAGTGGGAACAACGGGCATCGGCACGGGTGTTGATGAGCGGAAGAGGTTGGTGTAGAAGTTCTTCGCGATAGATTCCATCTTGTGTCGGGAAGAAGTCGGAGCCCCGTCTTCGTTTGATAGTGCAGCCAGTGGTACGTGATATTCACAGAAATCCCTTCGGCACTTCTTGAGACTTCGTCTTCCTTCGGCTGCTTTCAGTATCTTGGCTTGCCTGTACTTTCTGAGATCCTCCTGCAAGGCTGTTCTGCAACTGGCATTGGCTATCAGTCGCTCGAGATGAGTTGCATTCGGATCCTGCCTGAGAAATCTTCTTCTTTCGAGCAGTTCCTTGGTGGTCTTCGAGATGCGGTCCAAGTTCTTCTCAGAAGTCACTGAGGCACACTCTCCGCAAACTCTCAATCCTTTCAGAAGCCGGTCGTAGTCGTACGTTGGGTCCTCCTCGATGGGCCAGTCACAACTTGATATGAGCTCTTCCAGCCTGTTGCCGTCGTAAACGACATTATTCCTTCTTGCGGTACTGTAACAGACTTTCTTTTCCGACCTGCGACTGAATCGTATCCTTGCTCGAAGGAGGAAGTGGTCGGAGCCACAGCAGAAGGATGGAACTACTGAGACATTGAGCAAGCTCCACCTTCGGTTGGTGAGAATGTGGTCGATCTCCGCGTGAGTAGTCCCGTTGGGCGATTCCCAAGTCCACTGGCGATGTTCCTTCTTCATGAAGATGAAATTCCCATGGAAAAGTCGTGCGGCGGAGAGAAGCCCAACAAGACGGTTGCCGTTTTCGTTTCGAAGCCCATATCCAAACTTCCCAATCCTGTATTCCTCTTCTAGTGGCATCCCGATCTTCGCGTTGATGTCGTCCACAACGAACTTGTAGAAGGACTTCTCGTTGTGGACGACCTGCTCCACGTCTTCGTAGAAAGCATCTAGTTCTGATTCGTCAGCTGCTGATCTTGGTGAGTAGCAGTTGATGATGCTGATGGTCTTCTGACGTGGAGGTCGTAGTCGTAGGATGGCCAGTCGAGGTGACAGGATCTCATGCGAATCGACAAGATGGACGATAGATGGGTGGACGACAAAGCCAACGCCTCCAACGTTTCGTGATGGAACCTTTTCATCACGAATGAGGGTCCCACCACTCATCTGTCGCACGTCCTTCTTCCTGGTCTTCGTTTCCTGCAGAGCGATGATGTGGTACTTGATGTGCTCTGCAACGTCGAGAAGAGCGTGGAGGTTGGCGTTTGTGGAGACTGTCCTGGCGTTGTAGATGCAAAGCATAAGGCAGTCTCCATGGCGCGTCGTCCGGGCAGACGCGTCGTTTTTGTCCAATCCAAAAGGCGCCCTGAGTTCCCTGACGTCATTCTTGCTACCACCCGGCGCCGTAGGAGGGATCCGATGTGCAGGGTTTATTTCTCTTCTTTTTGCTGATCGAGTAATAAAATGTTTCCCCTAAAAGCAGACTTACTAGGCCAACTCTTGATTTCCACGAGGCGATCGCTGACCTCGGATGTGGAGCGAGGAGTGACCGCCTAACGACCAGAAGAAGCCAGACGACGGAGGATCTGGCGTGGCAGGCTCTTAGCTAGGCATCCGGCCGAAACCGAAAACGTCAAACTCCTTCACAGCTTGGGAGGCCCTACCAGAGTATACACTCGGCTGTGCATCGCAGTTCGACACCCAGTGTCACCCTCACGCCACGATGAGGCGACCGACCATTGGGGCTCGAGAATTAAAGAGTTTTTTGAGTTGGTGCAAAAGTAATGTGCATTTTTCTAGCCCTTGTTTCTGGACAACTTTTTTCTATCAAAATTTTCGCTTGGAAAAAAACTTGGCACATGTTCAAGAAGCTCCCTTAATGCTTTATTCAATGATGGATATGGGCTCCTGGCCTCATTCTTTGAAAATTTATAGAGCTTTACACAACCGCACTCAAAACCAGAATTTCCTTGCATTTACAATATTGGTCAGGATTCAAATGAAGGCATTCTTTTAGAAATTCAGCTATTGTATGTATTAGAAATTGTTTACATTATGCACACTTTATCATTTTCTTAGAAGCTACCTAGACTGCGATTTTGTCGCCTCAACCAGGGTAGTCCTTTTGGTCATTCCGTGGCCTATGAATTTCTTTTGGAGAAGGTAGTCGCCGAAGCTTTGCTCATTTCTGTAAGCGTAAGGGCGGACCTCCCTGTTGACAGTTTTTGCAAAAATGTTCAACTGTTCAATACGCAGAAAATCAAACAACTTCATATTTTGGGACATTGAAGCGTACGAAAAATATTTTAGAAAGCGGACAATTTTGAGTTTTTATTTTTTCCTTTCCGCAAATCTTTTTGTTTGGACTTTTTAGGTTTTTTGTACTACTGGGTTGTGGCTACAAGATAGGCTATTTAACATTTACACCATCAAATTTTGATGGAAGTTATGATCAGTTAAAAATGAGGTTACAGAAGAAAACTTTTTTTTTGCTTATCGATCCTTTTCTGGCCGCTGATGATATGAGTCCAAGTGGATGTGCACTGTAGTGCTAAAGGTTTGTTGCCTCTGATGATCCTTATCGCATTGAAAAATATAGATGTTTTAGAAAGTTATAGTACGTCAAGGTGAAAACTTGCAAAACGCGCGTTACTTTTGCGCCAACCCAATGGCATAAAAGTGTAGCAAAAGCGACATTTTCTGGATTTTCCGTGATTTTGGAATTTAGCCATGAAAAAATTCAGCAAATGTAGTTGAATGACTGATGTGGGGAATATATACCTGAGAAGTTAGAGGTCCGTAGAAATCTTCTGTGCTGAAATTGGGTTTTTCGCGTATGAAAAATTTTGAAATTTGGCGCTAAACTTCACATGTATCAAACCTTTTGCGATTTTTCGAAGGTCATCACGTGGAGCTTGAGTTGCTACCACATGCTCGTTCAAGCCCTAATTCAAAAATTTGAGATTAGCTGGTTTTCGCGATACGAAAAGACTTGTCGGACAAACTAATATTCAAAATAAGTGCGTAGGTATTGGCTATTTGACTTACTGTCGCCTATTTTTCAGTCGAGAAAATGCAGTTTTTTGAGAAATAGGGCGATCTGTAAACATGCAGTAGATGTATTGATTTAGTCTGTATAAGGGGTGAGAAATAACATGTGCATTCTGATGCTCATAGAAAGTTTGTTGAAAAGGTGTGGAAAGCAAATTTTCTAGAAAATCTTTATATGACAGAAAGGTAGCGTGGCAGGGCTCTTCTACCTTACAAATCATTCGGTAATATACATATAAAAGAACCAAACTCTTTCAGATTGTTGACATTACCTTACTTTCGATTTTCATTGCACCACCAAGATATGACTTCGAAAACACGAACTGCTTGCGTTAGTCTATATAATTTGAAGGTGTTAAAGAGAGTGCGCTAGACGGCAGCAGAATAGAGAAATATTTTTTGTAAAGCGTTGCTTATCAGGTTGAAGGCACGCACCAATGACATTAAAGTCAGAGTGAGTCTGGGATTTGACATGATCAAGAAAAAACGCAAATTTTCGTTAATATTTCTACTGATACAGAAAAAAGTATGGTTTGGATGGTCTATATGCTTTATTGAAATTATTTATATATGAGGTATGCAGCGCAGGCGGATAGTGGATCGAAGAGCGCTTACATTCTGATCAATCATATACTCTGCTCAATGCTTCATTAATTCTATTCATGTACAGCAAAATTATTCAATTGAAATGGGAAGAGGCCTTTGGTTAAGAGGGAGATTACATGATCACAGGACAGGAGAGTTGCTATCAAGTTGTAATTGACCCACTAGAGAGAATACGACAAAGGGCGAATTCAATCTAATAAGTTCCCTTTCAGATCGCATCTAGCAAATAAGCGTTTGCCTCGCACCACGTTGCAGTACAATCCCTATAACGACATACGTATTCTTTTCCGTTCTGTATCACTTAGCACGTTGACGACCACGTGCGTTTTTAGTTGTCTGTCCCTTGGGACACCTTCCACGTCGAAAAATTAGCTAAAATTTCACAGGTCATTAACTACAGTATATATAAGCTCCTGCAAGACGAAGGCGGTCGATTCGATGCGCAACGCGGCTGCGACATGGCTGCGTCACAGCCGAGTCACAGCCGCGTCACAGCCACGTCGTACCTCGAACCGACCGCCTTCGTCTTGCAGGAGCTTATACCTACAGTTATTCTATGATACAGGCAGAAAGCACAAAATCAATCTCGAGAGTTAGAGCGTGAGAGACCTTCTGAAACGAATGTATTCCAAAATAACAGTCTTCACAACAAAATTTAAGCCATAACCCATGATGTGGGTCACGTTTTCGTCAATGTGTAATGATCTGAAACCTTGATTCCTCCAGATCTTGAGTGTGAAGATGTGTAATTACGCTATGCGTTTCATACAGTAAAGTCTGCTCTATCATAATTATCAGAATATATTTTGCTAGGCCGATCTAATTGTAAGAGACATCGCCGAGAACACGCTCCTGAAAACACTTCATATACTCGTTTTCAAATGTCAACACCCCATAACTTCATAAAAGATTTCATGAATCTCAATCTCTTAGAGAGTTTTCAGATGATCGGTATGGGAGGGGGCGGGATCGGAGATGTATGTAGTGATGAAAAGGCAGCGGTTTTCACTCTTAGACAGTGTCTGGGCAAGACTGGAGTTGTAGGACTAGTTGACTTACCCGGCTCCGCCCGGCCCTGTCATTATTATATTCGTAATCAGCATGCTCGATTACCCCTCCCCTCCCCCCCCCCGCCCGTGCCAACTCCCAGCCCCGTAGCTCAAATTTTACAAAAAATCGATAAAATCAATCGATCGATGACGAAAAGTAGCCTATGACACCCGCCGGGGCCCGAAGTGTATGTGTGCCAAGTTTGGTCCGGATCGGTTCAGAAATGGAATTTTCTATACGGAACATACGTACACACAGACAGACAGACAGACATACAGACAGACAGACAGACAGACAGACATTCAGCTTTATATATAAGATTTTCACCTCCAGTGAAGGCGGTAGCCCTCTCATAAGTGAGCAGACATAAAGTTGCACCACAAGTGGTAAATCCGCTTGAGGAACTGGAGACTTACACCAAAGCGGAAAGCATCGCTCTGCAGTTGTTGAACTGTAAGTATTCCGACTGTACTCCGACTTTCGTTGTTATGTCAAGCAATCTGTCGCTCGCAAAGTAAAGATTGCGAAAAATGCCTAGTTTTGCGGTAAGCCCGCCTCTGTCGCGATTTTCTGTATATTCGAGATGTTGAATTGGGGCGAGAGAAAGTCGTGACATCCGATCGCAAGTTCGAACTCACCCGCGAGCATGCCTGCGATAGTCTAGAGATAGAGCGTCAAAAGGAAGGTTGTTTGAGTGTTAGCTTCCCATGGAAAGTGAAAGTTGTTCATAGGAATTCAAAGAAGACAAAAAGACGCAAACAATTAGTGAAAGCAAAGAAGCTCTTGAACACCTAATAAAACCCCGCCATCAGTTTGAAAATTTTCGTTTAGCGGCATTTCGAATCGAGGCTTTCGCTAAAGGACCAGGCAATCTACAGCACGGGGGAAAACGAGGGAAAGCTAGTTTCTTCTTCGTGATTGTTCTAAAAACAAACATATTTTGCAAGTGGTCAAGGGAAAAATAAATGAAAAACATTTAGTTATGAAAAGTTTTGTTTTTCCTAAGTCGAAACGCACGTCAAAGACAACCTAGTTTTTGATGCGTCTTGATTTTTTAGCTCCTTCTCGTAGTTTTTGTTTGTGGCGACGTTGTCAGCTTTGTTGTGCTTATAATTCTGAGCAAAATGCTTCCAAAAGTAAGAAATGGTATCTTACTAACTCCAGTAAAGCCCTATGAACACGGTTTTCGCCAATGCTCAAACCAGAAAATGGAGTTCGCACGTTTTCAGCATAAATGTAGAGATCAAGAGCTTCAATACGATATACAGTTTGCTAGGATAAAATCAGAAACAACGAAGAAAAGAATACCAGAGCCAAATGCCCCGCGCCCCGCGCTTAGGGTAACGTGCAACGCACGGAGACACAGACGAGCAGCGGAGAAAGACCAGAACCGACGTAGCTTTGGTCGTAGATCTCGGCGGAGAATTAATGGGACCCTGCAACCTGGACCCTTAATATCGTTGTGATCCTCATGACAAGACCAGGAGCACTGACAGCGTCGCGGATGTTGAAAATCACTCCATAATTTGAGTGGCAACTTCTTGCGCAAGATCTAGATCAGCAAGATCAGTTTCTCGTTTTCATTGAACTCCAACAGCTTCCGCAAATGTTTGATACTCGAAGTCTATAAAAAGGTTAAATAAGAATTAACGTCTTCTAAGGTAACTTTCTAATATGAACCTTCCAGCAGAAAAAGTTACAAAACGCATTTCTTTTTTGTTTTCTGAGCTTTTTTTAAATATTACCTACTATACTTGCCTCACATTCATTCCTATACAGTTATGTCATAATATCCAGGGATTCACCCCGGATGACTTCTAGTCTTTTCTCCAGGTGAAGGTTGTGCTCTATCATGACGCTCAAAGTGAAGGTTACCAAAGTACATGGCTCTATGTATCGAAGGTATGCCCGCGCGTTCACATCAATGTAGCCAAAGCAAGTGCGGCAATTGTGCGATTTGACTGCTTTTATTTTTATGAGGTCCTTTTCGCTCTACAAACTACATATAACTGCTTCATTTTCTTCTACTGCTTTGTGACTTTTCCAAACTACTTTCAATCTTTCCGCACAAACTTTTGCATTTACCACTATGCTTTAATAGTCACCTTTTCACTTTTCCGATAAGAACAACAACTGGACCCGGGCTTCACTTCGCAAATCCACTGACAAGGTCAATGATCACTACTCAAACTCCTACCTCAACTTTGATGAAGCAAGCGTTTTCGCTGCGGTCCCATGAGCTTCTAATGCTCATCGCATTATTCTTTAGTTTCAAACAGAAGAAAAAAGAGCAATTATTCAATTCTTGCTTGTCTGCAATTATTTCTCATCGAAACCAAGAACTTACAAGGGAAGGATCCCAAATCGCAGTGGCAAGCGAAATTGAAATGCTCAAAAATGTCTTTCTCCTGAAATTGTGACTTGACATACTTAACACGTTGACGACAGTGTCGCGCAATGGTGTGCTACGGGCAGTTTGTCCCGAGGACGATGTCACGCAATGGTGCGCGACACCCTAAATATCAGTTCTAAGTGCACAATGGTTCCAATTTGTGTTCACATAATCAACTTAGGGAACGGCCATAGGTTGCCGGCAACGGTTGCTGAGGTTGCCGGCGTTGCCGAGTTTGCTGGGGTTGCCGACGCCGGTCGTTGTAGGACCTTATAATAACTTCCACGATTCGCGCGCTCTCTAAGCTGTCTCTGACCCCGGCAACGCCGGCAGCCTTGGCAACCTCGGCAACCTCAGCAACCTCCGCAACCTCGGTAACCGTAGTCGGCAACCTATGATGGTTTCCTTAGGCTCATATTTCACGTTTCTTCCCCCCCCCCCCCTCTATTTTGGCGGAATCCGCCCACTCCGCTACCTTCCACAAGAAGCTTTTTTCGTCTTCAAAACGCATAGAAGAGGCCATAAATGACCGCGGAGCCTAGAGCGACTTCAACCTCGGTCACGCTCCTTTTGAGTACGCCTCGCCTCTGGTGGCAACCCCCTCCCACTTTTCAAAAATGCCGGAATTCGCACGAATTCTTGAAATTCAAGCAGAAATCAACATTTTTGTCGAGTGGGAGGGCTTGCCAAAAGGGTGCGGAGCTGCCTCGCCCACCTGTAATTGTTCTTCACGTATAGATGCATGCTTACAACTGCAGCCAGGCGTAAAAATGCTGGGAAACGGCTCGCCCACAGGTACAAACACCAAAAAATGGCTCGTCGTCAAGTGTTGAAGAGATGCATATCGTTAAAGTCTTTATGAGCTGGTTTTAGACCTATGTTCCATATCGCTGCAGGTCTTTGGCGGTAACCTCTTCTCCAGCTCCCTCAGCAATCTCTGAGGCCAGAAAACGCCATAAAAAACACTTTTCTGACTATTCAAGCACAGTCGTGGACCTAGCGTATCCAGAAGGCCAAGAATTTGTGGATCATTCGCAGTCGCAATTTTCCCGACACACTTGTTCAAGTGTAGGAAGATTGCATTTCAAATTCTTATAATCAACCTTGAAACTGTGGAAGCAAAGGAACCATATTAAGCGGCTTCTAGTAGATCGTATAAAGAGAGCTAATACCCTTGCGCTCCTCACCAGGAACACTTGGTAAGCTTGAGAACTTATCTGCGTCACAATAGATGAGTCAAATATACGGTTTGGATAAAGTTCTGATGGTCTAAATCGTTTGGTCAAAGAGTGATTGACTCGCTTTCAGGCCTCTGAAGACGGCATTTAGCCGAAACCTCGGGCAGT